GAGGGGCAGCACTGCCCTGGCACAGGGGCCCTGGCTCACTGAGGGGATCAGGCTGCTTCTGTCTGGCACTACAATTCAGAGCCAATCTTACAGCACTGCCAGCTACTCTGCCTCTCCTTCCAGACCATTTTCTCCAGAGTTAACCCAGGTCAAAGCTAACACATGAAAAGAGGTTAAATAATTGATGTAATTACTGCACCATCAGCTCTTTCCAGCACTACACTGATGATGCCACTAAAAAAAATCCCCTGAAGACTGAAATCTTCTTTTTTAACCCTTTGTGGATTCAGGACTGCTGTACACTTGCTCATAAACTGTCCTTTCTTTCAAGAAGCCAAACAATAAAAACCTCAAAGGATGAAGCAGAGAGAAGCCACAATCTCCACTGCTTTGGCAATTAAAGAATTACAATAAAGTATTTGCCCACCACTTTGTTGGAGTACAAGCAGGCAAGACAACTATTCACACACATAATTAAGCATTTCTAGACATTCTTTATAGTTTTTAATAAATTATTTATCGTTTCCAGACACTCTTCCCAATTAGTGAAGCAAAGGATGAAATAATGGAAGCAACTTCAACAATCTTTTTTGTGGATATCTCCAAATCTCCTATTTCCAGAGAGCAAGGAGGAGAATTACAGATAATTACAGATTTACACCCAGCTACATTTAAAGCACAATATAAACCACCAGGACTTTCTGCTGTGTCATGACAGATGCTTCCATAGCAGGATAATGTGTCTTGACACAGCATAAAATATAAGAGAAACTTCTGCACTCTCCCTCAAGATCAATTTTAACAGGAAACAAAGAACAGTTTCTCCAGAACAGAAGTCAAGCATCAGATTTAAAACTGGTGTTAGTTATGCACGGCAGAGCCTTGCAAACAGTGCAGGCTTCCAATTAATTTCACCTGATTATGTATTTTGGGTTTAGCTTCATCTATTAAAATGGCTTATAAAATTCAAACACATCCTTTCTTTCACAGAACAACCTGGTAAATTTTAATGGAAAACTGACATTTCTTGAAAAAGATTCTTTTATTGACACATCTCTGCTCTAAAGAAAGCACTTCCTTGTAAATAAACTGAAGATGTTGGGGTATAAAAATGACAAGGGAAGAACAGCAAATTCCTACCTTTGTGTTATCATGCACATGTAAAATATCTTCCACAATTTCAGACAAACTCATGTCCAACTCCTTCAACAAAAGGATTAGAAATCAGAGTTAAAGTCTCCCAGCAGGATGTGCTCAGAATAAAAATAAAACTGTAAGAGATGCTGGAAACTCTCAGTAATTCAGACCAAGGGCTGCCAGATAAAAAATCTGTGCTTTTGTACCTTTCTTTATATAAAAGAACACACATTAAAGACAGACCACTGAGCTTTGGGCAGCTCAGAACACACATTTAACCCAACTTTGGGATTTGGACAGGTCAGAACACACATTTAACCAAACCTTGGGATTTGGACAGGCCAGAACACACATTTAACCCAACTTTGGGATTTGGACAGGTCAGAACACATATTTAACCAAATCTTGGGATTTGGACAGCTCAGAACACACATTCTAACCCAGCCTTGGGATTTGAACATACATTTAACCCAACTTTGGGATTTGGACAGGCCAGAACACACATTTAACCAAACCTTGGGATTTGAACACACATTTAACCCAACCTTGGGATTTGGAGAGGTCAGAACACACATTTAACCAAACCTTGGGATTTGGGCAGCTCAGAACACACATTTAACCCAACCTTGGGATTTGGACACACATTTAACCAAATCTTGGGATTTGGGCAGGTAAGAACACACATTTAACCAAACCTTGGGATTTGAACACACATTTAACCAAACCTTGGGATTTGAACACACATTTAACCCAACTTTGGGATTTGGACAGGCCAGCACACACATTCTAACCCAACCCTGCCTTGGGACAGGTGACATCTCTGCAAGGCAAGGGACAGCCACGCCTCCCCCTCCCCAGCTGAGGGGAGCCTGTACCTCAGGG